CTCCAACATTTCAGACCGCTTTCCCAAGCTCAAAGCCGTTTTAGCCGACTCGTTCTCGTCAATTCCCGTGTCGATGGCCCTTGTCTGACTAGGTCCTCCTTGTGTTAGCCCTGGAATCTTTACCCCAGGTGGTGTGATGGGCGTTTCTTCCTCCCTACGCGCTCCCGACGGCGCGTGCCCTCCGAACAGCGAGAAACCGAGCACCTGAAGTGGTGGTCTAGGGCCAGGAATCGGCGGCGGCCGTTTATCCGTCCACGCTTCCCGAAAGTCCTCGTTCAAATTTCTCGACAATCCTTCCTTCTCTGCCATGCCAAACAGATCGGAACTAGGTGTAAAGCTCTTACTTCCTTCAAGAACTCCCCACAGACGGCGCCAATTTGATGGGTCTCCTCCTAGATTCGGAGTGAACCGGTGGAAATGAGCTCGGTCTGTTTGAATCGTCTCCCAAGTCGCCCTCGAACCGCTGCAAACACCTGCAAGAACTCAACACCGGAAGTATTTTCCGGTGAAGAGCCTCCGACGCTCAAGTCAGTGAGAGAGAAAAGAAGATGAGCTCTGCTCAGTGGGAGCAGCAGCTGAGGAATGAATGGAGAGAATGAAAGTTGGGGTTTAGGGTTACCTCAGCTCCTTTATATAGGAATAGGAATGCCTACTCGAAATACCTGAAATGCCATGGCCGACTTACGCGAAGTGTCCAAAATGCCCTGGTCGGTCTGCATTCCGCACACTCCTGAGTCAGCATCCAGATTCCTTCTTATCTTATGTGGGCTTGGTTTCCCTTGGAGATTTTCCCTGTTGTTCCTAAGTGCATCAAGTCATCGGAGGTCTTGTAAGTCGACTTGGGACCTTGCCATGTCGACCTAGAGTTATTCATGCGCTCACGGCTCCTGGAGTGTCTGCTCGTCTTCTCGAGGGAAATCGTCTTATACTCAGTCGACTCCCCGGAGCCGTCTTGAGACTGCTTATTAAGCCGATGGTGTTCTTCAAATGGCCGGTGGGCCAAGTCGACTTCGAGGATGTCGACTTAATAATGTCGTCACTCGTGTTGGCTCGGCCGGCTAGTTAGCATTTGAATCGGGCTATGATAATAGGAATATATCAGCCATTCTTATATTATTTTCTGTAGTGAGGTGCGATACTGGCCGATGAAGCCTTGGATTCGTGAGTATTCAAACGTGATGTACAGTGTCTCACTTCTATGATCGAGATTTTATTATTATTATTATTTTATTCTATGGTGGTGGTGACCCAATTCAGTACTAGATACATCGCTAGCGTTTCGGTAGGACATAAACCCGCCATTTGATAAATTAGCACAACGACAATTATAATTCTTTGTACTAAAAGTCGGCCTGGACACCTGCCTAAGATAGCGTCTAAGCACTACACATGTGTCATCTAGGTGCCACGACTTTTGTCTAGGCGATTGTTCTAGGTACTCGAATGATTAGGTGACGTCTAGGCGGGCTAGGCGGTTGTGAAGCTACTCACGTCTACGCATGTTAGGAGGTCTAAGCGGCGTCTAGGTGGCAGTATATATTTTTTGAATCATTTGAATCCCTTAATTTTATAATTATATTATTTATTATATCTATGCATGTGTACAAGCTTGATTACTATTTTTGGAACGAAAAATTAAAAAGGATCATAAATGGCATGTATGAGACCAATGTGGAAAACAGTCAAAGTTATGGAACCAAATTTGCAATCTTCTCTATTATTAAATTAAATGTCAAAGACCCAAAAATTTAATGATACAATAGACCTAGATCGATATATATTGCACTATTCAACTTAGTAATTTGCATTTTTAAACGTTTAATTTGAAATCATTATCAAACTTTTAAATTCTAGTCATTTAAACATATAAATCTAATTCCTAAAAATACAAGTTTTTTAATAGTTTAGTGTTTAAATGTGGTTACGTATCAAAACCATTGTTTTAAACACTAAACTATTAAAAAATTTGTATTTTTAGGAATTAGATTTATATGTTTAAATGACTAGAATTTAAAAATTTAATAATGATTTCAAATTAAAAGTTTAAAAATGCAAATTACTAAGTTAATAGTGCAATATATATCGATCTAGGTCTATTGTATCATTAAATTTTTGGGTCTTTGACATTTAAATTTAATAATAGAGAAGATTGCAAATTTGGTTCCATAACTTTGACT